ACACACACACACACACACACACACACACACACACACACACACACACATACATACACACACGCAAGGGCACCCATAGGAAAATTCTCAAGGGGGGACACAATTTTAATTTATCAATCTATTCATAAATATGAATGACCTATGATATAGGAAGGGGTATACAATTTTACATTATACTATTACATTATATATTTATCACACTGGAAGACTATAAAGTAATAATTATGTAACCAATTTACCATAAAAGTAATTTATTGAAATTTTTATTTAATTAATAATATAAATTAGACACTTAAAACATTAGTTATATTTATTAAAATATTAATTTACAAATATATAAATATTATGGTTGTGTACACACGCACATATACATACCGTATTTCTGGAAATTAATGATGGATCGAACTGTTCGAATCTCGAACCAAACCGAACCGAACCCTTGATGTTTGGTTCGGTTCGAAATTCGAACTCTGCATAACAAAAAATCGAATCGAACTATCAAGCATCTTTTATTGTTCGAAAATCGAACTAGAAAATATTTGTCGGACCAGACTTACTGGCCACGATAGTTCGAAAACCAAATATTTGTACAATTCTTCAAAAGTTATTTTTGAAAAATAAAAATTAATAATAATTATTTAGAAATAATTAGACTATTGGCGATAGATAGTGATGATCTGTAAAAAGCACGTTATGCATTATTTATAATAATAATGTTATTTTTCCAGTTGCATGTTACACATCTACCATTCGCCGACCAATACATTAATAAGTTGTTTATCGCCAATAGAAGCAGTGTATCTCCATTCATAAATTAGCTATTTTTGTTTTTATCATATTGATTGTAAAGATTAATATCTATTTTGGGTAAATCCATGGTAATATTCCGATACCGCGACTGTGCTGTTAATAAAAAACATGTGTAAAACCTACGTCTTACATTATAAATTCTATTAATCACTTTATATTTATGAATTATTGTCGTTATTACTATTTTTTTTTATATATTATTAAAATTTACTGATTGTATTGTCATATTACACTCAATACTCAATACTCAATACTCAATGAATATTTTATAAGCTACAAGACAACACGAGAGAGCACAATACTAGTTTTAAAAAATAATAATAATAAGAAATTATCTAAAATTTAAATGTATTGTAAATAATACAATTACTTAGACTTAAAAGTTAAAATGTAGAATAGGTAATACGAAAACTTAAAACACAATAGTAATTAATAATTATGGTTGATTTAATTTGTAGGTTGGTACAATATACATGATTAAAAGTATTGAGTTCAAGTTTGAGTTCGACTTAAAATCATAATAGGTTCGTTTTGGTTCGATTCAGTAGAAAATATGAAGGTTCGGTTCAGTTCAAGTTCGAAAAAATAATTTAAAGTTCTGTTCAAGTTCGGTTCGATTTAAAAAATCAGGGATCGAATCATCACTTCTGGAAATACACAATATTTTAAGATTTGATAATTATCCATAGAACAGAAACGAAAAAACGTATTGTTATTTATAGCTGATAACCTGATTTTTCCAAACTAAATAAATAGATTTTTCATAAACAAATTATATATTTTCGTATATTAAATTAAATTTTTAAATTCTATTTAAATAAATATTTTCTGATCATAGTAAAAAATTTTCCAAGATTTTTAAAATTTTCCAAGGGGGTCATGTCCCTCCCTTACCCCTCCTCCTCACATGGGTGCCCTTGCACATACATACACGCAGTAGCGTGATTGTGATGGGAAAGGGGGGGGAAAGTACTCCTTCTGACAATTTTTTGAGAGATAAAGTTGCCCTCCAAATAATCCAACAGTAAAAATCGCACCTTTTATTAATGAACTCTTATTGATATTACTTAACAATACTGGTACCTAATATATGCTACCTACAATGTATGTTTATCTAAACCATAAAATGAGTTAATAGACTTATGTAAAATTAAACAATTAGATATAGTGTATAAAATACATACAATAAAAATATTTTTTAACTGGTGAGGGGAGGGATGTCAAGGTTTTGGTAATAATAAATATATTATATTGCCTCTCCCTAGGTTTTTTCGCAGTTACGCCACTGCACACACGCGCCCGCAGGCACCTATATATATATATATATATATATAGTGCTTGCACATACAAAGAGTTTTCTTCCAATCAAACTGTATACTTTTTTAACTATAAACTATGTCGAAATAAATTACTTAGGAAATTAAACTTGTCCAAATATAGTACGCTCTGAACCGGTGTGGGATTACAGGATTCAGCAAATCTTTGTGGAAAAAAATTGACTTAAAATGATTTTCCATTTTATCAGATTTCAAATGGATTTATTTTTAACGAGATTTTTAGAAAAAATTATATTTTATCATTTAATCACATTTATTCAATATCTATTGTATCAATTTTCTATTCAATTTTTAAGTTACCTTTGATAAAGTTATTAGACATTTTGAAATTAGACACACAACTGTAACTCAACTATTATACGCAATTGTTAGACAATTGTGTGGATTTTTTCGTTTAATATATTAAAATAGTCATAGACGTATAGTTACAAAGAATATATGCGTATATTTTTATGTTTATTTTAATAAATAATATTATTTAAAATAGTATTAAATTCATGTATATAAGACGATTTATAAAATAATTGGTACCTTCATTGGGACCTTATTTTGTTACTTTGAAATTCTGAGTAGAACTCGTAATAATTCAAATTATAATAAGTTTCCAATTTAATATGATGATAACTCACAAACTCCTTTACTATACTCCCCTACCCCTCCCACTTTCCGAAAATCTTTGGACATGCTGCCCTTGATGCGTATAATGAATGTTGGCTCTTTTATTATTTCAAGCACCTCGTGGAGTTCATTTTTTAATATTATGCTAACATG